CAGCCAAGCCAGCCAGCCGGGCACGATGGACCCGAGGGACGGCCCTGGAAAACTGCTCCGCGGAAGGTGGCCATGGAGGACGTGGAAGGCGCTGGCGGACCGCGGCTCCCTCCCAGGGCTGCTTCCGGGCCCTCCAGCCTTCTGAAGGGCCCAAAGGGGCCACGGCCATTCGTTTGGGGTCCCTGCCCTGGCGTGCTGCGTCGGCCCCAGGGCCCCATTGCTCACCACGAAGCCTCGAGGGCTGCGCTCCGGTCAGGCGGCCTCCGTTGCTGCTGCTGCTGCTGTCTGGGGCGCAAAGGGGGCACGCCTGGCACCAGCCTCTCAGGCTGGGAGGCAGCCTCTCTCCACACGCTGGCGCCCACGGTCTGGGCCATCAGCTGGAACACGGAGCGATCCAAGCTCAGCCAGCCGGATGGTAGCCTGCGAGGAGAGAGAGACCCCGGGTGAGCCAGGGAGGGCAGAACAGAGCCCACAGAAATACTTCCTTTTAAGTCACATGCTCAATGGGGGGGGGAGGGGAGGGGAAGCGAACCAGACCGTAATGCCAGCCCCATAGCATTTCCTGCATTACAGGTCAATGTAGTGGCACCCTTAGCCAGGTGGCGGATATCACAAGAAGGGCTGTGTGATTTCCTTAGCTGACAAAAGCCTCCCCCCCTCCCCATCTGCAGTGGCAAAGAGGGGCAGGGATCCAGAGGGTGGAAAGCCCTTCCATTCCGCCCCCCCCCCGGCACAGCCACGTAGCTGCCCACACAGCCTCCAGGCAGGGCTTGGTTTCCTTGGCAGCCTCCCTTGGAAATCCACCTGTGTTTCCCCAGGCCATCTTTGAGTTTTCTACAAGAAATAATGCATCAAAAAGAGAAAGAGGAGGACGAGATGCCCAGCCCTGCTTGGAGCTGTCCCCCCGCGGGGGCCGGGGGGGGCACGATTCTTGCCAGAGTGCTCAGAATTGCACAATCCTTGGGGGGGGGACATGAGGGGTGAGTGTCTTGAGCCCCCACAAATTCTGGGTCCAGCCCCAAGACGCTTCCCCATCCCAGAGACACCCCCCTGCATCCGTCTCCCCCTCCCCAGCCAGGAGCCCCGAGCGCCAACTGTCAGAGCCTCCCCCCCCTTACCGGCTGGCATGCTTGGGGTCCTTGGGCGCCTTCCTGGAGCCAAAGAGGTGCCCCCACTTGGGCAGGCTCCCCTCCAGGGCGCTGGAGCTGCTCCCCTCCAGGCTCCCGGCCGGCTTCGGGGCTGAGCCACTCTCCTCCTCCGCCACCTGCTTCAGTTCGGCCAGCACCGAGTCGGGTGGGCTGCCCATCCAGAAGGGGTGGCCCTTCTCTTTCGCTTCCCCCTTGGCCGGGGGCTCCTCCTTCGGCACGGGCTCTCCCGCCGGCTTGTCCGCCTCCCTTGGCGGCCGGTCCGTGACGGGGCCCTCGGTGATGGGGCAGGCCTCCGCCCCTTCCACCACTCCTTCCCGGGGAGGAGGCCCCTTTTTGGGTACCCCCTGCCTGGAGGCAGCCCCCACTTTCTTCCTCTGCTCGTAGCGAACGAAGCGGGCGCCCTCCGCCGAGCCCTCGATGTAGACCTGGGAGCTCCGCATCAGCTGATACCACCAGCTGGCCTGCTTGTCCTTCTTGGGCTCAGCGCCGCCCTGCAGGGCCTCCTGCGGCTGCCCGTCGCTGCCCGCGTCCTCCCTTCGTTCTGCCCCTTCAGAGGGGGCGCCCTCGCCCTTGGCTCTGCTTCTGGCTCCTTCTCTCGCCAAGGCTGCGGTGGCCTGCAGAGCCTGAGCCCGGGGGTCCCGGCCGGAGCCCCCCCAGGCCTCGCAGATCCTCTCTGGGCTGCTCCCTTGGGTCCGCATGAGCTGGAGGGTGGAGTGGGCCGAGAGGGCCAGATCCCGCTTGACGCGGAGCAGCTCCTTCTGCTGCTGCTGCTCCTTGCCCATCTGCAGCAGGCGGTGCTCAAAGAGGAGGTCCAGGCTGAAGGGCAGGAGGGAGAGTGGCTGGAGCAGGAGCAGCAGCTCCTCAAAGAGGCCCTGGCAGACCCCGTGCGAGAGGGGCAGGAAGCCCACCGGCTGGTAGTGCCCCTGGACGATGTCTGCAGGGAGAAAAAGGACCCCAGGAGGTCACCGCCTGGCATTCTCTTATGACTCCCTCCAACTCCACTCCCCTGACCTTCTGGTACCGCTGGGACTTCGCCTCCCCCACCGGGCAGCTGCCCTTCAGGATCTGCAGCCAGGGAGGGGGCTCCCGGCCTCCCCCTGCCTGATGCCTTGTGCAGGACAGGGGCAGTGCGCCAGACCCCCGCCCAAAGGCAGCTTCTCCTCCTCCTCCTCCCTGGTGCCGACCCAGCAAAAGTGGGCTCCTGGGTGTCCAGCACCCCCGTGGGGGTGGGTTGGCTCCCTCTCCAGTTCCAAACGACCAGGCCTCCCCCCTCGAACCCTGCCCTCCTTCCGCTCTCCATGTCCCCCTTCCTGCTCTTCCAGCCCTCTTCCTTTTGTCATGGCCAAGACCATGCCCACCCGTGGCATCATTCCTCCAAGCCCTTCCTCAGGTGCCCTTACCTTCATGGTTGTAGAGGTGATTAAACCAGAACTCCAGGGACCTGATGCTGTTAGAAAAAGGGAGGGAGGATTAAAGATAGACAGGGTGAAACAAGAAAGGAAGGAAAAGAGAATGGAGGAAGTAAGAAAGTCAAGAAAAGAGAGAAAGGGGGAAGGAAGGAAGATAGACAGGGAGGGAGGGAGGAAGGAAGGAAAGTGAAATCTAGGAAGCAGCACATGTGGCACATCTGTGTGTGTGTGTGTGTGTGTGTGTGTGTGTGTGTGTGTGTGTGTGTGTGTGTGTGTGTGTGTGTGTGTGTGTGTGTGTGTGTGTGTGTCTTAATGCAAAACCTGATGGGGAAGCAATGACACGCAGTCCCAAATGGGAGTACTAACTCAGAAGCATAGAGTCCAAAGGAAAGGCAGGCCACCTCCCACACCTGCCCCTTGGTGCAAGAGAGAGAGTTGCGCGCGCGCACACACACACACACACACACACACACACACAGTGCCCTCATTCATGGCACAGGCAGCCAGGAAGTCATTCTGGGTGGGGAATCTTCTACCCAAATTCCCTCCAGCACAATAGGCGCTCCCAAGCAAAGGCCAGACCGTGGAAAGCCACCCTCATGGAAGCGGACCCGTCCTGATCTTGATGGAACGCCACGGGAAGAAGGACGCCCGCTCTTGTCCAGGCTCAGCTTAGAATCTCAGCTGAGATGCTTTGCTGGGGAAGAGGTGACAAAGTTGGCTCCCCTTTTTTTCTGCTCTATGGTAGAAGGAGACCCTCAGACCCAATGTCTTCTCCTCCTTCTCGCAGTGGCTTCTGCTCCCCCACGTCCCCCCCCAACGCTTCCGGGTCACCTGCCAGCCTCCCACAGCCCCTCAGGCACCTGCCCTTCAGCTCCCCAGAACCTCCTGCACCTGGAGCTAAGAGTTTGGCATCAGACCAGCTGCGGGAGGAGAAGGAAGGTCCCCGAAATGTTTGCTCCTTTGCCTCCCCACTTGCCCCCTTCAGATTAAAGGAGAATCCAGCAGCCCCACTGCCACCCTAGTGCCCCCAACCCTGGTTTCCAGCCCCCCTGTGTTTAGCGCACTTACTTGAGCAGTCCAAAGATGAACGCATTGAAGCGCATGGTGTGGCTGGTGAGTTCTGGGTACTGGCTGACCTTGCTGTAGAGGGCATGCACGACCTTGGTGGAGGGACCTGTTGGGTGGGGCAAGAAGGGCATCGTGGGGTGAGCCTGGGCCCTGGGCCGGATGGAGGAGTGCCCCTGGGTGCCCACAGGCTCGGGGCGCCAGCAAGCTTCCGAGGCTCCAACCGGAGGGCTCGGTGTCAGGGGTGACTTCCGCAGGGGCTCAGTGCCTCTGGTCTATAACAGGGACACCAAAGGCTCCCAAGATGGGCCCCGGCGTGGCAGGGCCACCGGGGCAGGAGAGCCAGGATCTGACCCACAGGAGCACCTGTTCCGAGGGAGCACTCTTCTCCAGGTCTCTGAGCAGCCAGAAGCCCCCACCTCCCATGGGGAAGGGAGCCAGAGGCACTCCCCACGCCCAGCCTGCCCCCCGGCCGTCCACCCATTTAGCAACAGCAGCAACAATATAACACAATCCTCCTCCTCCTCTTCCTCTTCCTCCAAGGAATTAGTGCTAACAGCAAATGTCAACTCTGCCAAGGAAAGGATGAAACTGTGTCACACCTCATCTGCGAATGTCCAAAGACTGAACAAACAGATTACAAAATTAGACATGATGGAGTGGCAACATTAGTGCACTGGGCATTATGCAAACATTAGAACTCGCTGGCCTCCAAAAACTCATGGGACCATCAGGTAGAGAAGATGTCAGGAAATGACAAAGTCAAGATCTTGTGGGATTTCCAGATCCAAACAGACAGACGCCTTGAACATAACACACCAGATAGAGCAGTAATAGAACGAAGAAAGGTCTGGATCATTGACATTGCAATTCCAGGGGATGCCAGAGTTGAAAATAAAAAAAATGGAAAAAATGACAAAATACAGAGATCTGGCCATCAAAACATCTCGCTTGTAGATGAAACACACTTCAATGGTCCCCGTCGTCATCGGGGCTTTGGGAACAGTATCAATAAATTTCACACAGTACTATAAGCAGTTGCAGAACTCAGAAATCACACCTTCAGAGCCACAAAAAAATGGCAATGTTAGGAACAGCATACAAACTGTGCCGACAGTTAACAGATACTTATTTATTTTTATTTATTTATTTATTAGATTTTTACCCCACCCCTCTAGACAATGTCTACTCGGCACAGCTATACTTAGGTTTTTCGTTAAAACTTTTATCTCTTATATAATACCAGTCAATGTTTTTTTTGTAATCTTGATTACTGGACCTGGCGTTTTTGAAGAAGAAGAAGAAGAAGAAGAAGAAGAAGAAGAAGAAGAAGAAGA